CTACGACAGGATAGGGCCTACGCGAGGCACGACTTACCTCCACCTTACGGGAGCTGTCACCTCCCTTCGGTGGGCGTATCCCCGCCGAGCTACCAGTCCACAATACAAAAGCTGATCAGTTGCAATCGCAGAGGTGAACCAGCCGAGGGCGTTTCTCGTTCGCTGTAGCATAGGGGGTACACGAGGTAATACGCCTATCGGGCCCGCACGCGAACCGACATCTGGGGGGGCTGAAGTCCTAAGCGCGGCTCGTCGTCGGTCTACTAGGACGCATCCCCACACACCATGCGCACACCGGGCGACTATACCGAACCATACTGTTGTCGGCGTCGTGCTCCGTACGTAGACGCAAGTCCCCGACAAGCACATCAATCGGTGGGACAATCTTTTTAATCCGTAGTTTAATCGAAAAATAAAAATCTGGTCGGCAATCACGCCGATTCCCCAATCATCAACAATAAAAACGGATCACGCGCGCCTCAAGTCTGTGCGCCCACACACTCTTTACTCTAATCAACCATCCAGTCAACGCAAAATACAGACGCGGCTGCGCCTAGCGCGGTATACTTAAACTTTGAACCAAAACTATTTTTTGTCGCTTGCAAAAACCAGGGCGGATACCCTTATAAGGGTATTCGCGCCGCGTCCCCGTCACCTCGCCAGATCAGAAGCTATAAATTTTTCCACACTCCAAATGCTGACGATAAAAAGAACCAATCCGATTAGCTGACAGACTCAGGTTCAAGGTCTCCAACAATCTGTGCCCACACAACTATATGCCGCCAGGGTCTTAACCTGGGTCTCCATCGTCCTGACACTAGGACGCTGGTGTATTACGCGTCAATACTACAGCATAAGTTTCAAAGACCACCTCAAACCGTCCTCTATCCTTTGTCCTCGACAAACGCCGGTTTCTCGTTGAGTGTTCCGGCTAGACTCTATCTCGTAAGCAGAGCCCTCCCCAGGGACGCGGGCCTTAGATGAGACCTCGGAAGACACTCTCGCCTCCCTTGCGAAAATCCTCACAATCCAATATATATGTATACGTATATTTAAATCTCATCTCAGCTCTTTCTGCAGTCTAGTACAAAAATGCTAGGTCTCCATCCTGGCTCACCATAGCTTGGTTGATCGAGCCAGATCTACGGCCTACCGCATTGTTATTTTAACGGTGGTTTCTTCGTTGGTTATGCAACGATAGGTTCTCTCCTGATAGCCATTCAATCAGGACTACCCAAAATCTCGACTCATATCCCCCGCCATCCCACCAGAGTAATTTCCCTGGGGCGTGCATAACCCTTTAAACTCTTACCCCGTTGGTAGACGTGGGTCCACAGCCAGGTTGTGCTGGCTTGCAGTTGTCCAATAGGGGTTGCGCCCTATAGGTGCTAACCTTTACCGTTTAGCTTGGTATTCCTCAATATGCCTTGAAATTAGTACAAGTGTCTAGACGGTGCGTCGCAAAACAGACCACAGACCCACTGCGGGACTACGCAGGGGTCTGTCTCACTTTAAAGGCGTTTACCAGCTCCCTATGGGACAACATAGAAAGCACGGCCCCTTTTCACGATCACAACCAAATTCACCGCTAGGCTCACACAAGGTCGTGACCTACTGACTTGATCAGAGACAACAGACCACACATCCCACAACATCTTAATGTACTGACTTGCGACCTTTTCAGTTCCACCAATAATCCAATCCGTAATTCTGGTTTCTTTCGTCAGACTTTATCAACTCAACTTTGCTTACTATGCCCTTAGATCCATTAACCACCTTTCGCACGAAGGAGGTCTCTCCCAATAGGTCTCCCGACCATCCCTCTCTTTCTAGGATGAGCTATCACGTGCCCCTTTTTAAAACACCTTCCTTAATCTGAAGGGGCCTCAACCATAAAACAACTCAAACTGAGAGGCCTACTTGTGGGTCCTCTCCACAACTCAACCACGAAACAACTCAACTGAGGTGTCTGCCTATGGGCCCTCTTCGCAACTCAACCGTAAAACATCTGGCATGGTAAGTATTCGAGTCTCAGAGACTCGCAAAATCTCTTAGGACTCTCACGCTTTCACAATAACAGACTGCACTCCCTCTCCTTATACTCGACCCTGTCCTGCTCATAGGCAGGCCGCACGAGTATACCGAAGAGTAGACAGTTCACATTCATTCATTCTCATAAAAACCCCACAATTCATGAGATGTTTTTCATACATCTCTCACACGAAACCATTATCCATCAGGATAAAACCACACGTGTGAGAATGATAGTGATCGTCACATATAAGGAATAGTCTCAGAGAAAACCTTTCAACTTAATATATGTACAGGGGCATAATACCCCAACTCAAACGTGAACCAAATGGCCCCAAATTACATATGCACGCCCAGAACTTGAACAATCTCAACCCAACCTGGTACCAGCGTCACACAACGAAAGGCGCGCCCTCCTTAACAAGGACCAACGCTGACACAGTCCTAGTCAGAATGTAATCATACCCCTCGAATCAGAGGGATCCAAATAACTCAAAACATATCCAAATCTTGAACAAAGTAAGACTAAGTCTTCCCCGCGTCTCACTCGTTCGAGACTAATATTTGGTCTGGAATCAAAACACTGTATATTTTGCCCTTGCTTGCTTAAAACTTAAGTCCAAGTCTACCAAGATTCTATGCACATTCTATACACAAATGCATGACTGCATAATGCCCTTATAGCTCAGAGTGGTATGGCTATGAAAAAATTCAACCATCAAGGCATAGTCCCTTCCTGTCCCGGATCCTAGGGCAATGTTTCTAAAACATCGGTCTAGAAGGAGTCGTCAATCACAATCAAAGTCAAGTCAGTCCTTTTAATAAGGTCGCATCCTCACATGATCTCCCAACGCACACAACCGCGCACTCTGAGTCATACCCTCATCTATATTTGCCTTCAGCAATCCATACATGCGTGAGGCTTGTTACCACGCTTGGGCTATGTTCTTGCCATCCTACCTTCAATAAGTCGTAGGAGCTTTTTAGAAAGGTACTTGTCCAACCCCACTTTGGAGCCTCCTATGATCCATCATATATACACAAGTCTCACACAGTGCTCCTCTAGGCTAGGGGAGTCTACCTCCTCCCACATCAAGGTTTCCCCTCAAGCCTCTCAGATCTCTCTCATATATACAACTATCCAGACTTAAAACAGGGCGTAGGTCTCGTCTCTTCTTCTCCCCACCAATAGGTCTAGGGAGCCGGATCCTTATTTAAAACTCATCTCCCTGCCCTAGTCACTAGAGATATATTGATAACACGATCCGAGGCAGACCTAACATACCCTCCCCCCACACAACTAATCTATTGGGGTCCCTTTGGCCCACCCTTCGGGCCGTCTTACCGGACCATTATTATGAAAACCCCCACTCCTTTTGCACGTCGTATCTATTCAAAAGGGGTTTCCTTGCTTATCTCTGCAGCCTCCTCAAACTTCCAGGCCCTTCTCACCCAAACCCGTCTTCCTCACAACTCATCTCTGCAACCTTGATACATCTTGCCGACTAACACATAAGGGCTCCGTCCATACAACTAGTTGGCCTGCCACCTTAGCCCTCGTCTTCGCCTATGAGCGCATTATCTACGAGAGACCCACCCTAGCAGGATACATGGAGACTCCCTATCGGCCAACTGCGACACGAACCTCTTCCCAGTCTATAACTTCTTCATTTGGGTCGTGCGAACTTGCATAAGCATCCACTACGTTGGTCAGGTTCCTAAGTTCCTGGCTATGGGGCGAGAACTTTCGATCCAGGTACAACCTATTTATTA